AGAATTCGTTTTGGCATCGTTGAATAGAGAATTTAATGGGGGGGTCATGACCCCCCCTGGATCCGCCCTTGCTTTCGGGGCTTCAGGGAGTTTTTCGGGCATTTATTTTTTGGGCTAAAAGCCCGAGAACACTTAATCAGAGCAAACTTTTAGTGGGATTATTATTTTAGCTTTTGGCCCTTTATTGGGGCTCGTTTCGCAGCTGGAGGAAAGCGCAGCCCATCAACCTGGTGGAAAAATACTTCGGAACTGAATACGCGCTTTACTTTGCCTGGCTCGGCTTCTACATCAAGCAACTCGTCCCTGCCGCAATCCTGTCCGTTTTCGTATTGGTCTATGGATTAGTTACCATGTTCACCAAGTTGAACAGGCACACGTAAGTGAAAACTGCTTGCAAGCAGTTCGAGTGGCTCCAATTCTCTTCAGTCAGGACATTTGCCAAAGCCGAGTGGTCATGTGTCCAAGATGCCACTTTGCCGATTGTCCGATGGAGCTGCTGAGCAACTCTTGCTACTTGGCGAATGTGTCCTATGTCTTCGACAATTGGTGCGCCGTAATTTACTCGGGAATTATGACTTTGTGGGGTGAGTGTCCATATGGTGATGGCTATCGATCAACTGTCTCAACACCCAGCCACGATCTTCATGGAACTCTGGCAACGAGAGGAGGCAGTTCTTCAGCTGCAATGGAACCTGGCGGCGACCAAAGACGCCATGACCACCAGGTGAAAATCGCCTTCACTTGACCATTAACCAAATGCACCTGTTCCAGGCCGGAGTATTTAGAAGCGGCCACAAAGAAGAGGTACAGTCCCATAACGGACACGATGCAGCCCTACATCCCAGTAGCACAGACCGCCTGCAGATACACCCTCACGTTGGCCTCAGTCTCAGTTCTGGTCAGTTTGCATAGCAAACCCCCTTGCAGACACTAACTTCCCATCCCGGTTTGATTTCAGCTAATAATCATGATTTTAGTAACGTTTGGCGTGATGGTTTATCGGGTATCAGTGAACGTGGTGCTCATCAAGTCCAAATCCATTCCGCTCATCAGGAACAAATACCGAAGCTTAATAGCGTCGATAACTGGCGCGATGTTATCGGGGGTGTTCATATTCATTTTCAAGTGGGTGAGTTTCAGCTACCTTCTGGGTCTTCGGCATGCCAGATAGGCTCTTTGCAGTTCTACGAGCAAATCGCCTTGATGCTGACCAACTTGGAGAACCACAGAAGCCAACAATCCTACACCAATTCGTTCATATTCAAAAGCTACGCCCTGGCGTTTGCCAACAACTACGCGGCCGTTTTCTACATTGCCTTCTTCAAGGTTTTGCAAATTTCGTCAGCTGCTTAATCATTTTAGGGACTCTGAGTTGCAGGGCAAGTTTTTCACATACCCCGGCGACCTGGCGGTTTTTTCCCACTTGGGCGGCATCAATACAGATGTGTGCGATCCCACCGGCTGTATAGTTGACCTGGCCATTCTCCTTATCACTATAATGGTGATTAAGGCATTCATAAGCAACATCACGCAAGTTTTAGTACCGTAAGTCCTTGTGAGTTCATCGAGTATGTCTCGGGCAAGGGAATGTGATTCATTAGAAAACTACGAAAAGTTTTCAACCAGACCATAAACCGAGTAAGAAGTCAGGACAATATCCCTCAGTGGGAGGATGAGTATTTACTGGCCAAGTCCGAGGAGTTCTTCATTGTGGGAGAGTATATGGATATGGGTTGGATAAATATAGAGATAAGATAGATATATATGGATAACCGCTACTTTCCAGTGATTCAGTATGGATTTGTGAATTTCTTCATAATGGGCTTTCCGCTAGCTCCCCTTTTAGCGCTGATTAACAACGTGGCCGAACTGAGAGTGGATGCATCCAAAGTAGTTAAAAGCTACAGGCGCCCCATTCCCACGAAAGTCGCCAGTTTAGGTAGGCCCGCATAATTTCAATGGACATTTTAAAGCAATTGTCCATTTAGGGGCTTGGTTTGGAATTCTGCAAGCAACGACCTACATCGGGGTTGTTACCAATGTAAGCCACCAAACCAAGGAAAATTTTCGATAAAACGCATCATTTTGCAGGCTTTAGTTATAGCGTTTACAAGCACTTTCATGGAGAAGGTGATATGGGAGACCATGGCAGGACACTCATCTGAGTACAGTTACCTGAACGAATCCCTTTCAGGTGCAGCTTTACTAACACCAACCACTTCCTTAATCCTTAATTCGCATCTTCTAGTTTTCGCCATGAACGATTTCGAGATTTTCGACGGTTCAATCGACGACAAGCTAAAACTAACTAAAGTGTGCTACTATGAAGGTAAACGCTATCCCCCCAACCATCCCTTGAAATATAAAAGACGGAAAGACTACTGGTTGCACTTAGCCATCAAGTTTGCAGCGGTGGTGATTTTTGAGGTCAGTGCGTGTCCATCTGGTTGCGCTAATCGCTTTGACTCTTTTTAATTCAACAGCACGTTCTGGTAGTGATCAAGGGATTGGTCGCCTATGCAATACCGGATGTTCCCTTCTCAGTCAGGCAGCAAATTGCCCATCAAGAGAAAATGTTCAAAAGAGACAGGATTATTGAACAGAGTAAAAAATTCTTGAAGGACCGAGAAAAGTATGTTTCAATCAAATAAACATAAAACAGGAACTTCCGTCTTTGAAGTGTTAAGGCGTCTACTCAAAACTCGTCTCATTTACGGTTTAACCATTTATATTCGCTCTTTTACCTCCAACTACCGTGGAAATACGAGCGATTTCAGCACTTTACTCCCGAACCACGCAACTACAAAATCCTGTTTGTAACCAACGCGTTATAAACGTATATAACACATTAGCCAACGCTCTAAATGAATCCACCTGCAATAATGAACAACTTACACCACTTTCCCTGAAGCACAAGCCGCTAATAATTAAATAATTAACAATAAAAAATAAAACTGCACGGCAGCTATCAATTTTGACGACTGTTGAAAACCCGCAAACATAACCTTCGATAAATGAACTCGGCACAGAAGATAACTTACGGCAACAATGCAAATGAAAACATTTTGAGGTTAAAGTTCATTACAGCTTGTTAACCTAAGCAACTATTTGTGATTAACGGTACGCGGATTAATTATGTTGAAAACAATAGCAAAAAGGTGTTTTTCCTGTGGAAAGCTGAAAGCCCCCAAAGTGTGTATAGTGGGGGCGGGTCCAGCAGGCTTTTATGCCGCTCAACATCTACATAAAAAACTAGTTGGAGCTGAGATTGATATTATTGAAAGACTTCCAGTGCCCTTTGGATTAGTACGGTACAACTTCCTGATTTACCAACAAAACCCTAAACTAATCAATTAAACCCCTGTCGCGTACAGGGGCGGATTATGTAGAAAAAATACAGTCTTCTGTTGTTTATGAAATTAGAAAAATGATCGTCGTTTTGTGCAAGGGTGGCGCAAGATTATTGCAAAATT